GGCTTGGTGGGATACATCTACAATGCCAGTACTGAAAGGTGGTGATAGGCAGGTACTTGTAGCCCATTGGTGAGTCAGCCTAGTGGAATCAGTGATCGGGTTCAGTGAGAGACTTTGTTTCAAAACGTAAGCTTCCCAATGATGGAGAAAGCTTCCCAATATTGACCTTTGGCCTCTACACACATGCACACATACATACGCAACCAGATGCACATGTCCACACACCCACAGGAACATGTATGCATACATAAATACGTACACACACACACACACACACACACGTGTGTGTGTGTGTGCTCGAGCACATGCGCATGTACACACACAAAGATGCAGGGAGGAGAGAATGAAAATGGAGGGATTGTAAAGGGCGGAGGAACCCCGCCCTGCACAGTTGGTATATTGATGGGGAAATCTTGGAGTCTCTGCACATAGATTTACAACCCCTCTCATTATAGGCAGTTCAGAGAGGACAGGTAGACTACAGAGGTAGGCTTAAGGATACTTTAAATCCTAAGACACACACACACACACACACACACCATCACACAATCAACTTCCTACACTAACTCAACTCACTAGTGATTTTTTTTCCTATTAAGAACACGGATCAAAGTTAAACAATTCCCAGAAAATAAAAATTTTAAGCCTCAATTGGCCTCCTGTTAGATAATTAGCAAGCATTCCACCATCTAATCTTCTAAAGGATTTAAAAAATAAATGAATGGATAGACTACAGAGAATGCTTGGAGTGTGTAAAAAATGGAAGGAAAGTAACTACATACATGTATATATACTCATGAAATGCCCTACTACTACATGCTCTGAAATCCAAATTTCCCAAACATAGCCATGACATCATGAGTGGAAAATTCTAAACCTGCTTCATATGGCAGGTCACAGTTAAAATGCAGACACAAATAACGTGCAAAATTACCTTTAGGTCATGTACATAAGGTGTATATATAGCATCAAAATGAATTGTTCAAGCCATGCATGATTGCTAATAGCTGTAATCCCAGGAGGGTCATGATTTTGACACCAGCCTGGGCTACAGAGTAAGACAAGAAGAATGAGGAGGATGTGGTAGAAAAGAAGGAAAAGAAGGAGATGAAGGAGGAGAAGGAGGAAGAAGAGGAGAAAGAAAGAAAAAAGAGAGATAAAGAAGATAATTTTGTTTACTTTTTTGTGTGTTTAATCTTGGGTCCCACCCTTTACCATACCTTGCTATTTATATGCTAATATTTCAAAATGTCTTTCAAAATCCAAATACTTCATTAAAAGTATTTCAGATAACGGATACACAGCTTGTATTTATTATATTATTATTAAATTATATGACTACTTCTGTGTCTATGTATCTATTTTATTTAGCATTTCCAGTGTATGGTCCGGCAGATGGCAATATCTGCAGCAAGATAAATATCATTCAGGGATGCACACCTCTGTACACAAGATAAATATCGTTCAGGGATGCACACCTCTGTACACAAGATAAATATCGTTCAGGGATGCACACCTCTGTACACAAAGCATAATGCCTTGCTCAGACGAAATATTTCCCTAGAAGTATAGAGGAAACAAGTCAGCCATCAACCCCTCTCTGTTCTCTCCTCTGCAAACATCTGGATAGAAAGAAAAGCTTTGCCTCCAACGCCACTGGAATCATCTTCCAAAGTCACTGCTAAGGTCTGAAAGAATCCTGAGTTATCTGAGTAATGTGAAGAATGAGGAACCTCTGTGGAAAATCAGCATTTCAAAGGGGTCAGATTGTACAGAAACCTCATTCTACTGTAAGTGTGTAGCAGGCACAAACAATACAAAACTAGATTTCTTAAAGGACACTTAGTAAGTAACAGTATATCTCAGGGCACAAGTGCTAAATGCTGGGACTATGAAGACTGGCAAGGGGGAGAAAATAAAGGTATGACATTAACAGGCACAGCCTTCATTTCCCCCCAAATCCATTCAAGACCTTCTGCTGGTGGATCTTTTTGACAGTCCCCTCATCCTTCCTACTTTACCTCATCCACAGCTCAGTACTCTCTGTTTTATATTCCTGGAGTACAGAAAAGTCCATGTCTTACTGAGATCCAGAGAAAACGCCCCACTACAGAACTCAGCTGTAATCCGCATCAAGCTAATATATGAGTTCAAAGAAGCCAGCCGAGTGGAAGAGGGGGTGCTAGGAAACCTTTGCAGGCATGCCCATCTCACCGCTATTCTCACCAGAGGGCACACACCTTCACTCTGCCTGCATACAAACCTGGGGGCTCCTCCCTCCCTTCTTAAGTGCCCCCAATGCCCAGGCACAGGTGCAAGCTCTGTATCCAGACACTGTTCTCCAAACATGTTCAGAAGCTGGGAGGGGGGAAAGCAGCCAGGGGGAGCAGGCAGGTCTGGATTAGGGAATACCTTAGCCAAAACAGCTACTTGACACCCTTTGCCACCCACCCAGGCCAAGACTCTCCACCCTACCCTGCTCCAGTTGCCACGAAGTGGAGCACAGAGATGAGCATCATTGTCCAAGCATATGCTTCTGTGGTATTTGCAGAAGCCATCTGGAAAAAGTGTGTGTGTGTGTGTGTGTGTGTGTGTGTGTGTGTGTGTGTGTGTGTGTGTGCAAGAATGCTCTCGAGGGTGTGTGTGCTGCTCATGCACGAATACGCGTGAACAAGTGTGTGTCTCACTACTGAATGCCCCTCTGAATCCCTCCGCAGTATCAGGCAGTCTGGCAGTCCAGGCAAGGTCCAGAAATGAACGGCATGTTGAAAGGAGCCTCTGTGGTTGTTGAGAGTCTGTGGCTCTCTCTGCCTGCATCCGAAGCTCCAGCTCTGGTGGACTTTGGGAACAGCCTGCCCCCTTCTGGTCTCCTTGAGCTCCATGAAAGGGCAGGGGTTGGGGTGGGCACAGCTTGAGGAGGATAGACCCCTAGCTCTAGCCATCCTATGCACAATGCAGCCCCTGGAGATGAATGTGAGATGGGGGATGAGAGGAGAGAGACAAGCATATGATAAAACTCAAGTCCAGGAGCAGCAACAAGACCGAACGGTTGACAACTACCAGGAACAGAAAAGCGAAAGAAAAACGAGCAAAATGCATGTGTGTCTACATAGGAAGGTAAAGAAATGGAGACTTTGGAAGGATGCAGGTGGGAGGATGTACAGATGAAAGCAAGATTGCAGACAAGCCCAGGAACTCTGCTGCTAGAACTGGGAATCCGAAGACACACCCGCCTTTCCGATTCCAGACTTGATGTGACTGGGCTAGGACAAGAGGGAATACTACGCCTAACTGAATACTCATGGAGGGGTTGTGAATTGCTTTAGAACATCGGGGAGGTATGAAGAAATCCGCAGTTTGTTTCTTTTCTTCCCTTCTTGCTTATCTCAACAGGTGGTCTATGTACCCTGAAAGCACCACCTGAACCCCATTTGCAGAAGGTACAGTGAGTCCCATAGTCTCCTCCCAACCCTGCCTGCTTCCACGCTGGGCTAGCGGTACATGCTCTTAGTCCCTCTCTCATTCCAGTAGGTCTCTAATTCCAGAAAGAATAGTGTTTCAGCCAGAACACACTATCAGCTCCAGGCATACGATCAGCTCCAGGCATACGATCAGCTCCAGGAGTTCAAAAGGCAGTGAATGCCTGCCTCCCCCCTTGGGTACAAACAAGAAGGACTTGGGGACATTGAGTTGTCATCCACAAGGATCACTCCACTCTGCACCACAGGTGAGGACAAGACCTCCCTGGTACCTACACAGCAGCCAAATGTGATCAGATCGAGTCCCGAGACTGCTTCAGTCTACAGGCGCAAATAGCTACACTCGGGCAACAAGGGTCAGGGCAACCCCAAGGAACTTAAGCACATCAGAAAGCACTCCTGACAGTCAGTGTCAAGGAAGCCTTCACCAAAGGCTGCCAGAGTGACAAGCAATAACAAGGACCTTTCTCTTCCTAGGATCCTAGAAACACTCCCCTGGAGGCTACTGCCCTTCAGATGCTAGGCAATTCTCTGCAGGGAACTGGGATGATGGACAGTCACATGGCATCTCAGACAGACAGACACTCATCCCACGCAGAGAAGAGCCCCTGTCCCATAGTTAGGGACTCAGATCACTTGCCCTCCGAGTTCAGAAAAAGGTGGAACAGATACCCTCAAGGGAGTTGAGGACAGGGGAGGAAGATAGGCTGGTGCCCTGCCTAGGCAACCAGGTGCCCCTAGAACTGTGGGAGACAGTTTTGGAGCCCTGGCCGTCCACATCGGAAGAAGGCAATGCTCAACCGGAGGTGTAGTGATTGTGTAGCCAGACAAACAGACAGTTAAATGTAACTAGCCACCTATGTTAAGTCAGAGACAGTCAGCTGGGACCAAGGGGCAGTGCCCTGAAGCTGCGGATCCCGGAGAAGTCAGGGAGGACAGGAGATGGCAAGGTTAGGGACTGAGGAAGGTGGAGACAGGAGCAGCAGACACCCAGAAGGGAAAACAGGACTCAAAGTCAGATCAGGCACTCATAACCCAGTGTTGATTTGGGTACTAGGGACATGGTGGAGGACTTACGACACTCATACCATTTCCCTTCTTAGCCTACAGCAAACAGCTCACACCAGAGAGGCTGCGTGGAGAACCACCACTGAGCAGCGGCTGAGGATCCGGTCACGATCCGATGCACGCACTCCGGTGGCAGTCAAGCTTCAACGCCCCCACCTAGAGAGCAAGTAGGGCACCCAGCAAGAGTGACAAGGAACAGGACCCCCTTGAAAGCGCATCTCCTCTGGAGCTCACTTTCCAGACCCTAAGGGGGCGGTCCTCAGACTCAGCACAGAGCAGCGCAGCTCAGAGCACGACCCTGCAGCTGCCCAGGGCAGCCAGGGCAACCAAGGCGCAGAGTCCCTTCGGATACCCGAACTGGGGTGGCCAGGACTGGTGGGAGGCACAGGTAGGGTCGCCCAGCTGTCTATCTATCCGCGAGGCTCCCGATCCCCTTCTGAAAGGGCACCTTACCCTCGCCCGGGCGGCCAGTGCCCCGCGGCTGCCAGGCTGCTGTGCGCGGGCTCCTCCGGGGCCGCCTCCCCGTGCTCCTCCTCCGCCTGCTCGGCCTCCGGGTCCTCCGCGGGCTGCGGGCGGATGGGCAGCCAGGTCCCTGCGCTCCCGGCGAGGGGCCGCGGGCTGCTGCTGCTGCTGCTCGGCTGCTCCCGCCGCTGTCCCCGCGCGCCGCCGCTCGCCAGCCCCGGAGTCCAGGCTGCTGAAATTCCACACCACCAGCGTCTGCAGCAGCAGCACCATGAGCGCCGCCAGCAGCGCCGAGTGCGAGCGCCGCGCCAGCCTCCGGGCGCACGGCGCCGCCACCATCTTCCGCGGCGGCCCGGGGCGAGCAGGGTGCCGGGACACCCCGGTGCGCGCTCTATCCCGGGGGCTCCGCGCTCCGGCCCCGCCGCCGTCGCCGGGGCTCGCCGCTGCTCCTCCTCCTGCTCCTCTCCTCCACCTCCTCCTCCTCCCTTTCCTCCTCTGCCGCCGCCGCCGCCGCCGCCTCCACCGCCGCGGCGCGGAGTTTTCAGACGGGCAGGGACCCGGACGTCACCAGGAGGAGGGGAAGGCGGGAGGCGGGCGCGGGGAGGCCGCGGAGGGGGCGCGGCGCGCGCGCGCGGGGACACGGCTAGAGGAGGGAGCTAGCCCTGCCCTCCGCGATTCCCCTTCTCTCGGGACAGGGTCCCCACCCCATCCCCAGGGTTCTGAGGTGGCTGTTCCGGGGACCAGGCCTGGGGAAGGGGCCATCAGGGACCCGGGCCTTGAGCAGAGGGCGGGGCCTGGAGGAGGAGCCGAGGACAGCGTGAGGAGGAGAAGGTGAGGGAGGGGGAGGGAGCAAGGGGAGCAGACGGACACCCCCCAAACAGACGTGGGAACAAGGTGGAGTGAGAAAAGGCCGGTGCTCGGGATAGAGATGGGGAAAGTGGGGAACAGACGAGCCAACAGGGCAGATTGGCTTGCCGAGATCAGGCAAACGGAGAGAAGGGTCCTGAGACCCTGTGTTCCATGTGGCAGTAAGCTAGAGGCAGAGTTTCAGGAGGCGCGGAGTTTTCTGTCCCGGTATCTTCGGTTACACTCTGAAAACCTTGGCAGGTGGGGATGGGAGAAAACGTGGGATGTCACAGGTCCGGGCTCTTAGAGCCCGGGATTCCTTGATCACTGAGTGAAACGATAGGGAGGAGGTTCTCAATGACTCTCCGAGGTTAATCAGCACAAGCACTGTGACTTCTGAGTCACCTCCCACCCCAGGGCCAACTAAAAATGCAGGGTTAGATGACTCACTTCTCCGGTCCCCAAGGACTCAAATCCAACATCCACCAAATCCAGTTGGCAAGTGGATGCTTTGATGGCTAAAGGAGTTTCCCAACCCTCCAAGGCCATAAGCTGAAGCTGCATGTCCAAGGCAGTCTCCCTTCTTGCCCTTCTTTCCATCCAGTCATCCTGATGTCTGACTCGCTGGGCTATGTTCAGAGCTGGGTGAGTCCAGCCTTGCTACATCACTTTCCTGTCCTGACTGGTGACCTTGAGCCACCAGGACTGCCCCCTTGACCTTGGCCTGTGCTCTGTCCTCTATCAATGAGAGTCTGGAAGGAATGAGCTCTCTGGACTCAAATTTCACCCATCCCTCTCTGACTCAGTATTGCTGCCATTCCCTTCTGAGTGTCTGCACATGGAGGGGACTGATCTGTCTGTCACTGAGTTGGGAATTTAAAGTGAATTCTTGACCTTTTGTCTCCTGCCTTTTTGAATAGCATCCTGGTTTTTGGAGGGAAGAGAGCAGGTATGGACAGAATCATTCAGACAATGAGGCTAACTAAGGTAAGAAGAACCTTTCTGTCCACTGCACCAGCATACCACATCTGAGCTGTGTCAGATGTGGAGATGTGGGGCCAGGTACAAAGATCCCAAAGTGAGTGAGGATGACTCTTACCTACAGTAAGCTGGAAGGCCAGAGAGCCAAATGGATATATGCAATCTCAAAAGGAAATGTGGTCAGCAACACTACAGAGACTTGAAAGGAGCTGTGTGTTCATGAGAGAGCTTCTGGAACAGCCTTTGTCCTTGGCCTGAAATGCAGTCTAGAGTCACCTTCCAGCTCTGCAGCCAGGTACAGAGGCATTCCCACCTCACCAAGAGTGAGCTCAATAGGAGAGCAGCTCCCTGGCTCACTAGTCTCCTCTTATCTGCTTATCAGTTGGGAATATTTATAGTTTACAAAATAAAACCCCTGGTTTAACACTCTAAAAATAAACCTTACTGGATCATGTAACTAGGTATTTCAGAGGACTGATTCCAGGCATGGCTTGATCCAGCAACCCAGAACTGCTACTGCAGAATTTTCTTTCTCTTTATCCTCTCTGTCTTATATGGGGTGTGTTCACATTGGATTACCACAAGAGGCCTGGCTTCTGTGACGGAGACTAGTTGTAACTTTGGTTCCTTTCTCGTTCAGTATTCTCTTCGAAGACGCAGAGAGATTTTTTTTCATGGATTCATCTATAGGTCCTAAGCCACCCTTAGACCAGTCAGAAAACTCCGGAAATCAGACGTGGAGATGAAGTAACCAGGGTCCCATGATTCACCTCTGGCCTTGGGGCAATGATAGCATCTCTGTAACCACTCAGCTTCTCCATGCGGCTGTAGAAGGGTGGCCGCCGTCTTCTATCCATGCAGGCTCCATCTTTTCCATCACGGTCAAGTCTTCTTCCCTCCCAGGACTTCAGGTTTCTTAGTGTTCGTGAGTTGATTGAAGAGGGGAAACACAGTGTCCAAGTCCTGCACTGGCTGGCCGTGTGGAGTATTCCAGCCCCCACCCCCCCTTTGTTGAGCTCTCCACTGCATTTCGCCTGTAAAGCAACAATGACCTATGTTTCTTCCACATGACACAATTAACTGGAGTCCTCCAGGGCCCAGGCTCTGATTCAGCTCCCGCAGGGCCCCAGTGCTTCAGCACTAAGGTGAAAGATCCTGAACCTAAATCCCTGGAGAAACACAGTTGTTTACTTTGACTCATAAAAAGCTACTCAAGAAAGAGGTTCAGTCGCCCTGGGCAGGTTGGAGATGCTATAAACAACTCACTTGATGGGTTTTGAATGAAAATTTACCTGAGTTGATGTCTGGGATTATTATCTTCTTCTGGCTCCAAGATAACTAGCCCTTCAAACATTTTAGAGTGAGTGGGGACGTGGAGATGCAACAGAAGAATGGACAGGGGGAGCTGGGGTGACTTGGGGTGTCTGAAATGTCCTTCTCAGTGTGGCAGACAGTCAGCTGGGAGATCCTGAAAGTAGGTACCCTAAGTCTGCTGAACCACACCAAGTAAAAGTGGCTTCCTTGCTTTGAGAAAGGCAAGAATTTTCATTTCCCAGTTATTCATAAAGAGGCAGGTGCCTCTGACTGATAGGACAGAGGCCAGAGTCCTGCTTGAGACTCAGCAGTGGCTCCAGCCACTCTATCCAGAGTCATTGGGATTTCCAAAGCTCAGTTTTTCATTCCACAAAGATACATGGGACCCTATTACATGCAGGCATCCTGCTGGGCAAGCGAAATCTGGGGATGATGAAGATTCCCCAAGGAACCTTTCTGTTTAAATATGGTTCCTAAGCTCCCACGCTATGGCTCCCAGGAGTCAGAGCTCTGGAGAAGTTTCACCTGATTTGTGGGATTACCACCACCACCTCAAATGCCAAATCTTATTTCTCCATCACTTTTCAGGATGGAAGGCTGAATTAGTCAGCCAGCATTTTGAGTAACTGGGTGTGCCCAGTCGTAAGCCAGTGATTGCAAAGGAAATGTTCACGACAGTCTTCACCCTCTAGGAACTGTCCAACAGGACACAGGGACATGACAGATAATCGACAGCAATTCCAGGGTCAGTGCACAGAGTGAGGGTGATAGAGGAGAACTAGACTGTCTAGGTCTAATGTGTGCGTGTGCACATGTATGTGTGCTTGTGCATGTGAAACCCAGAAGGCAACTTAACAGGTGGGTTTTGGATTTATTTGGTTATTGTTTACTTTTTTTGTTTGGAGGCCTGGAAGTTACAAAAAAAAGGCTAAGCTGACCAGCATCAACTGTCTCCAGGTCTTGGATGGCAAATAATTGCTACCATAGCCAACTTTTTGTGTGGCTTCTGGGGAGCAAGCTCTTTTACTGACTAGCCTATCTCCTTGGTCCATCTGTTACATTTTAACTGAGCCTTTAAGTATCCATTTTTAATTTCGATGCCTCAATTTCCTCACCCATAAAATTGGGCTTAACATAACAGGGCCTTTATTGACACTTCCTCATAAGGATTAAGTGAGATAACTAACATGAATAACTTATTTTTTCATTTAGACTGACACATAAAGCCAACCTTATTGGAACATACATGCACACTTGGAAGATGGAGGCAAGAGAATTAGCAGTTTGAGGCCACCCTGCAGTACATAGCAAGGCCCTGTGTATCAATGTTAAATGGCCACAGGCATGAGAGAGGAGAAGGGTTAGGTACCAAAGGCTGCCTGGAGTAGGCTGTGTGAACCCAGGACTTTGACACTTCAGTTTCTCTAAGGGCAGATTCCTGCATCATTTCTTTACCACTGCTCTCTCTGCCACTTGGTGCGATGCAAGACCTTGAGTGAGACCTGTGTGTGCAGTGAGCATCCTTCTATCACAGGGCTGAGGGCAGGTACAATAAACCAAGGGCATTCTTCCACAATGAAGCAGTTACTGTTGGAGCCTGGTACACATACCATCTCGGCAACATTTTCGTTTCATGATCTGTAAGCAGGTTACGCAGCATCTTTGACCCTCAGTGTTATTAAACAGAAAAATTAAAAAGAAGACTCATGTCTTCCAGGAGACATGAAAATTGTGACATTGTATGTAACAGTGTGTCATCTATTCCCTGTGGAGGGTGGAAAGACTATCAGCTTGGTCACAACCTGATCACCAAGTAAAGAAATTCCCTGTCCTTTCCAAATGTTCCTGCCTTAGGGTTTTGGCAAACTGGAGCTTGACCTACCTCCTTCTGAATTTAAATAAACTTCAGACTAACATTCAAATTTAGTGAGGTTATATGGTTTCCATTTTAATCTCGATCACATGTCTGTTTCTTGTTTTTATAGTTGCTTTTTACCCAAATGCTACCAACTGACCTCACTTTGCTCTTCAAAAGAATTTTTTAAACTCATCCTGAGTTTCACTTCTGCATCAACACAGACAGTAGAAGCAGGTGGCTCACTTGCATCTGTTTGATGGTGTGAGACTCCCTCTCAGAACACCTCCACCCCCAGAATCCCTGACTGTCTCCAGCAAATGCTCACAAGCCCACAAACCAGGGACAGTTCTGGGCATCAGGGTCAGAGAAGCCCCTACAGAGTGTGGACTGTGGGTAAATGTTCTCTGCCTTTCACCCTATCCCAACCAAGGGAACGAAGTGGCCTCTGCCAGCCCCTCCATGCAG